TGAAATGTGACACTGCAACAAACTTGCAACACTTGAGTTGCTATTGTATAGCGGCTAATGTTGCATCATCCTCACCATCATCACCATCATCATCATGTGCCAGCAGGCGGCAGGCAGCAAAACACTCTTCAGAACCAACAAAAGGGAAATACCTACAGAGAGAGGTGGGTGCTGCCCCCCCCGGGGTATGCCACGGGTGGGACCAATTCACTTGACAACTGCTTCAGTAAATTGCGCTCCATTTGCCAATAGGAGCAAGAACAAACAGCAAACAGCAACCAGCAAAAAGAACTCCTATGGCTAGAACTGTTTCGCCTGTCAAGGGGTATATATGCGGCTGGGAAATAGCAATTTCTTTAGCCGTTTCAGACCGTGTTGCATCGAAAGATACCAAACTCCATCGATGGTTGTTTCGCAGTACGCTTTATCGTTGCAGAATTCTGCAGAAATGTTCAGTCTTATCTATTGGGTATCAGTTGGTCGGGCTCATCCGAGCTCTTGCTTGCAACTGGAATTTATGCAGTATCTCAATGCAGTATCTCTTCGTTGGAGAGACGAGTAGAGGGCGGTCTTGTCCGGGCTGGGCACCCCGACCTGAGTTGAAGTTAATTTTATGCAGGCATTTGAACAGACAAATGAATTGGAATGAGAATAATTATTGTACGATCGGGGGTCTGGGGTATGGAATCTGAGCTCTGAGGTTGGGGTCTGGGGTCTGGGGTCTGCTCTGATCATGATGATGGTTGCAAGTTGAAGTTAAAGTCAAGACGGGGGCTAACACACACACACCACACTCTGAGCTGAGCTGCATTCGGAATGCAGACAAAAGTTGAAATGTCAAAGTCTGTTTGGAGTTTGTTTGGAGTCTGTTTGGAGTCTGTTTGGAGGCTATGTCCACATCTATCACGACCACAAACACGTCTCGTCGCCCTGTGGCCCAGTGACAATTTTTGCATTGTCTGCCTTGTGCGCGGGCTGGTGGGGGGCTTCATTTTCTTTTCTTCTCATGTTTTGGTGTTGGCCAACAATGGGTTAAGAGCAGCCTTCAAAAATGTGACCAGCCAGCCAGCCCAATGCAATAGTTTCGGCTTTTTTCCCCTCGATTTCTGTTTGCTTTGCTGTGGAATTTAGTGCCTGGCTGTTAATTTTTGGGCCTGGCTCCCCGGCTCCTCTCTCTCTCTCTCGTTCGACTTTTTTTAACTTTGTGTTTATTTTGGGGATTTCTCGTCAATGACAATCACCTGTGCTGTGGACCTCGCCGCTATTATTATTTTTGTTGATTAAAACGTAAGCGAAAAATATTCCACAGATCATCAGAAGTTTGTCTTTTAATTGCTGCGCAGCCGTAGCCTCGCGGATGGGTTAAGCTTTCAACAATATTTAATTTGGAATTCCATGGACTAGGTATTTCACCTATTGATCACTGATCGATTGACAGCCCAAAACGGATCCATGGAGCAGCTGCTAATGATGATCGTACCAGTATAGCGAGTCTCCTCACGTCATCCCCCAACTGACGAGACCAAGGCCAAGCGAATGCTGCTCCTCTTGCCCCTTAAGTTAAGGCGAATCATGATCATGGATCGATCTCTTGGCCTCCTCCACTGCTGTCCAATGATCCTCCTTCCCAGCAGTCATTTAAGATGGGCAGAAAGCGTTGATAACACAATATAAATCGTATACATTTGATTACAGGGAGAAAACTGATCGATCGTAAGTCCTTTGGAGATCCATCCTGGTATCCAACTTGCATGAAAATCGAATCGTTCTTAGCTGAACCTCTAGCAGAGGTTGAGAAGGTGTCTTCAAAGTGCAGATCATCTACTGTAAACTGTCATTCAACTACAAATACGCTGTGATGATCTCCAAGTACAATTCATGCACACTTCTAGTTAGCTGAAGATCTAATTTGCAGCATATAATTCTTGTCAAATCAATACCGCTCCAAATAATAATAATAATCTTATTGTATAAATTTATCGCATTGGAATAACAACTCGCTTAACATTCGGAGCCCCGTGGCCGCCCCTCCCCGGGTGTCTGATCTGGTTGAACAACAATCATTGCACGCATTCACATTCGATTCGCATTACCCGATCTCCTCTCCCCCTGTCCACCCTGTCGTTCGGCAAGCCGCGTTCCTCGATCTCTGTGGGTACAATTAAGGCGGGCAAGGCAAGGCAAGGCAAGGTCGTCGCCGTCGCTGTTGTCGTTGAAATTAACATTTGAAATGACTTCATACGAAAATAATTGCACGCTGCCAAAGACAAACGAACGCAAAACGCAAGGAGAGCAGACTGGGGAGAGAGAGCTGGAGATCGATGGAGTGTGGAGGGGAATGCAATGGATTGCAGTTGATTGGAGTGGCACGGTGTGGTCCGGTGTGATCCGGTGTGTTGTGCTGCTGAAGTGGATTACGCACTTTGAAAACGAGTGCAACGCACGCGGCATGCAGCTGCTGGTGGCAGCCACTACCACTCGTACCCACAGTTAACTGGCCAATTTATGCCTTGGCTTATGAAATAGGCGGGCACAAGTCTCTGGCGCACTCAAAACGAAACCAAACAAATCGCAAAACAAGAAACCGAAACTTTTGATACCCTCTCAAGCCAGGATAATCTATTGATTCGATCTGAGCGAATCCGAGTTTACTCTGAAACAATTTAAGACCAAGTTCTAAGGGAGTTGCATGCACATATGTGCGTAGATATTGTTACAAAAACATTCCTGCACATGGGCATACATTTGAGGGCAAATTGGCTGCTTGAGTTGTCCAAGCATACCCTCCTATGGTCAGGGTATACGAAAATTGATGCTGGCCTAAGCCCAAGCACTTGCCCCATTCCGAGGAAATAAATTTTGAAGCTGTAGCTGGAGCTGGAGTTGGGCATATCATTAGATGGAAGTCGCGTTGGTTCGTATTGCGATTGGGATTGGGATTGCTGCGGCTGGTGGCGGGGCGGGGCGAAAGCGTCTACGTCTGCGTTTTGTTCCCCCTTTCACTTTCAATTAGCCAGTGGGCAGCAGCAGTTTCCCACTCTGTCCCTCGTCTTGTGTGTCTGTGTGTGTTTATCTTTTTTGGCCTGCTTGCAATTTTCTTGTTTTCGTTTCGCATTGATTATTATTTATAATATGCGCGCTTCAAGGAAAAACTTTCGCTGCATGCAACACATTTGGTGCGGCTGTGGCTGTGGCTGCGACTGTGGCTGCACTTCCTGCAATTATCGCATAAATACGAGTACTCCAAATATTGCAGTACGCGTGTGGCGTGCGTGTGCCCAGCAGTCGTGTGGGGGACTGGCGACTGGCGACTGCCGACTTATGCAACCCAACGATGGAATCCAAATTCCAAAATCCAAAAATGTATGCAACTCAATTATGAAAAATGTATGTGTAAATTCAAATCGAAAATGGGTGTCAAATGGGGTTGAGGAAATCGCTATGCTGTAAAAAAAAACCGCCGAAAGGCCAAATCAAATATTTCCTAGTAACTGATTGAGGTTTCGTTCAAGAAACTTTTGTTTTTAGCAAAGTTAACTCGGATAATTGATCATATTATACATATGGAAGGATTACAATCTTAAATATGTAGGATAGCCTTAACAAAGGTTACGTGGCAGGCAAGGAAAGGCCAATACATATGTACATATGTATGTGTACAGTTGTTAACTGTGATTTTAAAGAAAGAAAACATTTTCTATGTGCTTAGCAAGTTCTTTGGTACAAAATATGGATAAAGTTCTTGGTAAACTTCTTCTGGAACTTCTTTGATTTCCCTTCGAATAGCCGCACTTGGGACAGGGCATCGTTTTTGGCAGAACTACGCGACAGTGGGCCAAATAGCCCATTAAGTGCTTCAGGTCTGAGGGCAAAGTCGTAAAAAAAGGCCACAAAATGCACACACGTATGCACATACGTACGTAGATATGTATGTATGTATGTATGTACGTTTGTTGTTAGCATACTTGTGAATTGTTCATAGGTAAATACTTTCCATTTTTGTCCATTTGTTTGCAAGCAAAGCCCCACACAAAGTTATCTACAATGTATCTGAGTATCTCTGTATCCATGTATCCATGTATCCATGTTTTGTGTGTTATTGCACGAGTATTTCGTGGCGGTTCAAACAAAAATGAATAGTAAAAGAAGCAATTGGCAAGACTTTTACAAAACAAAGTTCACTCGCTTAAAGATTTAAGATTTACGTTGCTGTATGGCTGCTGGTTTTTCTTGGCCCAAATTCGATTTAAATTGTGGTGCTGTGGCGGCCGAGCCAGGTAAATGGCGATGCTTGGGGGCTTACTGTGGAAAGGGATGGACATAAGGGATGCCAGGAGCTCTCATTGGCCAGTTTGCTATTTTTCTTTATCATTGAATATTTGCATAGGATTGAGCTTAGCGCAGGAACAGGCCAGAGAGAGCTAAAGTTTGGCACCGAGATCAAATATATTAGTTAAAAGCTCCTTGGCACAACTGTTTTTGTTTTTGTTTTTAATTTTGCCATTTGTATGTAGATTGATATGCTCCAATAGTCTGTTGATTGCTGATAAATCAGCTGAAGGGAATTTTTGAGAGACTGCAGGACAGGGCAGGTAGGAGGTAAAAGCTTCATGCCCAGCCCTTGGATAATTTTAAGAGTCAGTGATGAAGATTAAGAGTTTTAATATAAAATATTTAATATGTAATTCTAAATTTAAGGACTGTGAGATCTGGCAAATCAGTTTGAAATCCTCTTTGGGAGATTACAGTAAGTAATAGATCAACAAATACAGTACTCAAACCATTGCTTAAACCATTGCTGTGTAAGGGGATGCAGGATGCAGGACTCAAACATCATCCACCAGCTAAGCGCCGGTTGATTTGAGATTGGAGGCAGGCAGAGCTCTGCCTTGCACGTGCTTTAAAATATGACTTTTTCAATTTATGATTATTGTTTTCCTCTCTTTTCGCACTCCTCCTCTTTCTTCTTATATTTTTTGTTTCATCTTTTGCAAACTTACGCTAATTGAAGCGGCGTCTCTGGCCTTTGTTTTATTTTATTGTCTATTTATCAACGATTTTCTCCTGCTGCTGCTGGTGCTGGTGCTGGTGCTGTTGCTGGTGTTTGCCGGCAGCCTGCTGCGTGCAATTAACATTCAACAAATTCCATTTCACTCTAAAACACAAACAAACGCACACATAAAAAAAGAGTCGCACACACACACACACACGTGCCACAGAAACACACACCTCACACAGGTGCACGATATTGGTGAATTGGATGCTGCGACGAGACGATCAATGAACGACGAAGTGCGAAAGAGCAAAAAAAAAATTGTATATGTATATCGGTGGATAGCCGAAAAGTAAAACGAGAGACGAGAAACACACGGAGACGGAGACGAAACGAAACGATTCACATCCACTCACAGTACCGTTAGCCGTTTTGTAGGAGAGCTCTCTGCTTGCGTTGCGGCCGCTTGGCGCTTTCGTTGCTGACTGAGCAAGCGCGGCTTCGACTTCGACTTGGACTTGGACTACCGTTCGGTGCGCCGAGGCCGACAGCGCTGCCGCTGCCACTGCCAAAGCGAAGCTTTACCTTATGCCAGGCCAGGCCAGCATTGGGCTTTGGCATGCCACAGTTGTTGTTGTTGTTGTTGCTGTGACTTCTGCTGCTGCTTTACAACCTGTTCGCGTAAATCTGCGTTTAAAGAAGTGGCGACAACAAACGGTAATGAGCTTGCACCAGCCGCCGCACTGCACTGCAGCTTTCGAATTGAACTTTTTGTGCGCTGCCGTTGCTGCCGTTGCTGCCGCTGCTGCAGTCGGCATCTTCAATCTGGCATCGCCTTCAATTTCAATCTGCTCTTCAGCTGCAGCCGACAGCGCTGCTGACGTCATGGAGGCATTCGATGATAAGCGCGAATAATTGAGAGTTAGAGAGTGGAGAGTGGGTAATGGAGAGTGAAGAAAGACAAAGCGAAAGAGAGAGTGAGAGTGAGGGGAAATCAAGAATCTCAAACCTTTTTCATATTATTGCAAATCGGCAATCATATTTACACTGAAAGAATCAGCTAAATATAAGACAGGCCCCATAGTTATTTAATATTTATTTAACCTAAAGGTGATAATATATTTTTGTTAATTACTCTCAAGCACAGCCATAGGGTAGCCATAGGGTAGCCATAGGGTTAATGGTTAATAGCCTAGATATCTGCAATTTACGCTGATCTGAAACACGATTTAAATAGAGTTCTTTCAGATCGCTATGGTTGAATGATGTTGGTTCGATGCCGGTTGATGATTCTGTGCACACAAACTTGTTCTCCCCTCCCCCACCCAACTGTCAGATGCTGGCTGGCATGCATTGTGGATGTACTCGTACATCAATATGTACATACATACATACATCATACATATGTATGTATGTAGTTTCTTTGGCTGTTGCAATGTTTGTTAACTTATGTTAATTGAAATCACATAAAACAGAACTCAATGCCTTCGCCTTGGGCTGTTCGTTCGCTTCGGATTGGAAAAATGCGTTTTGTGTTTTTGCGTGTTTTTTTGACGCTTAAGTAAGTGCCAGACGTGACCAGAGAATCTTTTATTTTCCATGCATTTCAGTTGTCGGTCTTCTGATAGTTGTATTTTATTTTTCTCGTCTCACTTTTGGCCTAATGGACTGCTTATGTAAGAGGCGGTAAGTACGGGTACACGAGTATTTCTGGGATTATAAATACATATATACATACATACAATATACGATATATACATATGTACATATATGTAAATGAATGAGGCGCTTAACGGTTTCACTGCAAATGCTCAACGGCAGCACCAGCCCACAGCAAACGGCCACAAAAAGCTCCGCAAAGAAAAGGCCACAAAAAGATAATACCAAATTATAGGCCATATAAAATAAAATGAACGCAGAAGCAGCGCCACCACCTGCACCACCAGCAGCAGCCAGCAGCAAGCAGCAACAATTGGGTGTGCAATTAAAAGTTTTTGAGCACTTTTGGGGCGCGTACCAGGCAGCAGCTTATGGTAACCATCCATCCCAGCCACAGACCATTTGGCAGTAAAGAGTCTTAAATAGAGCGTTCAGTTGGTGTTTTGTGAAAGCAACAGCAACAAGAGCAGCAGCAGCAGCAACAGCAGCAGAAAAATTACAGTCATAGGCAAGAACACTCGCAGCCACATTTGTGCCCGGAACAAGCAAAGGAACCAACCAGGGCCAATATCGTTTGAGCAAATTAATAAATGAATGCCTGATAAATACTTGCACTGTTTTGCTATGGTTTCTGCTGTTACTGTATTCGGCTATACCCAGCGCCTGTCGAAGCTAACTGTACTGAGAGCCGATGGTTTGAAGGCGCCTGCTCCCCACATCTGAAGCCTCTTAGTTTTCCTTAGCTTCCAGGAACTTCCAGTAGGCAGTGGCCGACACTGTCTTTAAGAAACTAAAAGATTTGAACTGAAGAAGAATTACACAAGTGGTGCATATAAGTATGTACAGATGTTCGTATAATCTTATGGATTTACTTACTTTTATTTCTTCGAATTACCAACTGGTCTACTATGCTCTTCGGGGTCGAAGGATTGTTGAGGCGCGAAGGCTTGTTGGAGGTTATGCACCTTGAACGCATATTGTGCGATTCGATTTTGTCTATCAAGAAAAATATTTACTGCGATTTTCAGGAATTTGTTTCAAGTGTCAAAATGAATGAGAACTAAGAACTAAATATTTTATTTCCAAATCAAAGACTACAAAGGTATCGCTGTTCGCTAATGGGACGAACTTATTTGTTGGTTGCACTTTCAATTTTGCTCGTAATTGTCCTGAGAGACGGAAAACATACAGACAAAGAGATTCCACATTTCCACTTTATGATCTATTTGATAAGAATTTGAAATTAGTTGATCTGTGTCCAGTTTACCGCTAGTGTTTTTATTTCGCTGTATCTGTCTTTATCTCTCTCTCTCTCTACTCACACCAACACCAGCCACACAGCGCACCCTTCATGGGGATGATTGTGAGAGCGGGAGAGAGAAAGGGTAATCATAGGCATGGAAGGTTTAGCGAATTGATTGGTTATTTCTTTCTATAATAAGGATCTGATCTAATCCAGATTCAGGTATCTGATAAATATGGTCAACTTTTATGATTCGATTTCTGTTTTCGCGTATCTTGGAAATTGTTGAGGTCCCAGACTTACACCCGGACATGGTCCGACATGGGATCCGAACGCTTCCTTCTGGGTGTTACACACATCCTCTTGCAGCACAAAAATAAAATTATATCGGTCATTTAAAGAATATCAGGTAAGAAATGTCAATGGAGATGGAGTAGCAGGGACAGCAGAAGGGCACACAATTATCGCTCTCCACCTCTCTCTCTCTCTCTCTCTCTGTCTCTCTCTTTCTCTTTCTGTGCCCCAAACAACCAAACAAAATCTGCGCGAAAGTGCAATTCAGAAAATAATTTACGCAAGATCCAAAAACAAAAGAAACACAAAGCAACAAAAATATTTAAAAAAAAATTGCTGAAAATACTCCTGGCTGCTCGGGCAGTTCATGACTGGTTTTTCACTTGTCTGGCTGTCTTTTCCTTTTTTGTTTGCCCCCCTCTCACTGTGGCACTTGCTTTATGTAAGTTGCAACCTGCTGCTGTGGCTGCTGCTGCCGCTGCTGACGCTGCTGCTGCAACTGCGACAAGTTTGCGTCTTAAGTCTTTCGTTTCGTTTCGTTTCGTTTCGTGTTCGTTTTCATTTTCGTTTGGCGGCGCGCTCATAAATCGCTGAGCACATTGCGAAAGGCAAAAAGCAAAAGGCATGATAAGCAGGATGGATATGGGATACGTATGGATTGCAAATGGATATAAGTGTGCATAAATATGTGGACAGTATACGTGCATACATATGTACATATATGTATGTATGTATGGATATATGGATGGGTAATAAGTGGGAAAATATCAGCGATTGAGCTTTAGAAGGGCAAGTGGATAGGAGAATGAGGTATCTCTTGGATATTAGTTGAAATTAGAAATAGACATCAGGATTGTTTTGATCAGATTGAAGGCGATACTTTAAATTGATTGATTACTTTCAGAAATGCGGAAACTACTTACAAAATATGTAAGAATTTCAATGTAATAGGACTAGAAGAGAGATCCCATAGTGGAGAGCTGCAATATGATATTGATTAAAGGAATGAGAGTGGAGTTAAAGTTACGTTACTTTGAATATTTCAGGAAACGGAACATGAGAACTAAGCCAAAAACTTAGCTGAAGATTGAAAATTATTTGAAGTGAAGGCAACGCCAGGATTTATAGAAAATGAGCTTGTGACTCGGGTTTTTGTAATCTGTTGCAATCCCTGCTTATAACCAACAATCCCAGTCCCACATAGAGTATAAGGTCGTTCTAGTTATAGACGACATTTTGCACCGTTTATCGCTATGTTTGCGGAGCCACATATGTACATACACATACCCACTGTTAATAGTATGCCTAAGCAATTTACCCCACTCTGTCCTCCAGTGGCCGCAACTGCCACGGACAGACGTGGGGCCGAGAAACAAGTTCAATCTGCGGATTCAATTGAGTTTGAGTTGATCAGGCCGAGCCCAAAAATTGTGTTCGAAACTCAAGTCGGGCCACACACGCAAACTGCCACAGATAGAGAGGGGGAGAAGAGAGAGAGACAACCCACACACAGATAGAGTCAATGATCTTTCGGAGCTATTTGACGGGGGGGCCCGCCCCCTGCCCCTGCCACTGCCACTGCCCCGGCAAAAGAGCCAAAGAAACTTGAACATTTTGCCGGCTGCTTTCACTCTCCATTGGATGGAATACGGAATTCTTTCATAAATTTCTTGGCCACGCAGCTGGAGAGGGAAAAGAGAGTTAAACAATTTCGAAAACGTCGCCAGTTAACGACTTTTTTCCTCCTCGAATCTTTGTGCAGCGTTTCTTTCGTTCTCTCTCGCACTCTCTTCAGCTGTGTTTCTCTGGTCATGCGGGGCGTATGAGTAATTTGCAATGTCCGTCTTGATCTCTACTGCCGCTCCTACATATGTACGAGTATATCAGCCAATCTCCAATCTGCGTAATTAGCCAAACAATAGTCTGCCCCGGCGCAGTTGCCATAAGATTAATGAGCATCCATTCGAACAGGATGGGGAGTTGACGTTCCATCTCGCCATCTCTCCCTCTCGAAAAATACCTGCACATAAATCTCTATATATCCATAGTTATGGCTGTGAACAACGCCCTCTGGTTTTCGAAAAATGAAAACCATTTACCTGCGACCACATCAACGACAGCGGCCATCATCAGCCAGCACAGCAGCACCCATCGACGCATCGGGGGCCCAGACCAGACGACAGCCGCAGAGAAGAGGAAGAAAGAAAGAAGAAACAAAACATTTCTGACTCGAGCCCAAGTGAAAAAGAAAGTGAAGTTGTCGAGCCACCCCGGAT